AATCTTGCCAAGAAAACCCTTTATAGGTTCCCTTTAGGGTCGCCATAAGTCGGAAGCAACTTGAAGGCTCACAGCAACAACAACAAAAGGGAAATGCTTTGTATAGCACCCTGAATCCATCCAATCTTGTCAGTTTTCGGAAGTTAAGCGGGGTCAGACTTGGTCAATAGCAGGAGGGGAGACCAACAGGAGAGAATCTCACAAATCTCCAGATAGGCTTTGGGGCTGCTGGAGACACAGTTGCTGCCAGCCAGAGTTGACAATACTAAGCTGAATAGACCAACAGTAGCAAAGCCCATGGTCTTGCAAACTTTTTTTTTTTGCCTGCATCTACACTGCAGAATTAATGCAGTTTGACACCGCTTTAACTGCCATGGCTCCATGCTATGGAATCCTGGGATCTGCAGTTTTGTGAGCTATTTAGCCTTCTCTGACGGAAAGCACCGGTGCCACAACAAACTACAAATCCCAGGTTTCCATAGCATTGAGCCATGATAGTTAAAGCTGGGTTAAACTGCATTAATTCTGCAGTGTGGCGGGAGCCATGCAGCCGCAGTCATTAATAATTCTCCACCAAGATGACCTGTGCAAACGCCAGCCCTGCCATGACTGCCACTCTAAAGCCACATGGAAGAGCGCGGCATTTCAGAGTTGATCAAGAAATTATCAAGAAATTTATTCCTTCCAGCTCAGGTTTGTGGTTGAAATTTGCAATCTGTTTTTTTCTGATAAAGCCTCTGTCGTTTTGCACTTAACGTCTGCGTAACTTTTGCTGCATCTGTGTAGAACACATTGATTTCTCCCATGCACTGTCATATTTGCGCCGTATTTTATTTTGAATTCCCTTTATATATTTTACATTTTATCGCATAATTGTTATAACTGTTCAAATTAATTGTTTTATTAATTTTATATTTATACATTTTAATGTTTTGCATTTTTTACATTGCACAGTTTTAAATTTGCTGTGCACTGCCTTGAGTCCCTCTATTGGCAGAAAGGCAGGATATAAGTAAATAATAATGATAATGATAATGATAATGATAATAATAATAATAATAATAATAATAATAGTAATAATAATAGACTTGGAATCTCTAACGTTGCAAGTGGGCACTCTTTAACATTACTTGGGTGCCTCTTTTCAGTAGCTGCCCTTTGGCATGATCCCTACATGTCATATTGATTTGAGGATTTGGACTAAGTCTCTGGAGACCAGGGTTCGAATCCACACTCAGCCATGGAAACCTCTTGGGTGACCTTGGGTAAAACACACTCTCTCAACCTCAAAGGAAGGAGGCAATGGTAAACCCCCTCTGAAGAAACTTATCTTATTCTAAGCTGACTCATATCCCAGTCTTCGGCCAAAGGGGGAATTTAAATTCACATTAAATAAATAGGAAAGCAAATATATCCCATAATCCCCATGGCTAACTAGAATCAGGGTGTAATCCATTGGACTACAACTCCCATCGAGTCAGCATGGTGTAGCGGTTTGAGTGTTAGACTACAACTGTGGAGACCAGGGTTCGATTCCTCACTCAGACACAAAACCCACTGGGAGGCCTTGGGCAAGTCACACTCTCTCAGCCTCAGAGGAAGACCATGGCAAAACCCTCTGAAGAAACTTGCCAAGAAAACCATATGATAGTTCACCTTAGACTTGCCCTAAGTCAGAAACATTTCGCAGGCACACAACAGCAGCAGCAACAGCAACAACCAGACAGATCTCGCTTTGCCCTGTTTCGTGCACCTTTTCTTCCCAATATCCCATGTTGCTGTTTTCCCCAAATGATGTGTGTGAGTGTGTGTATGTGTGCATATATATCTATATATATATATATATAAAAACTGGTTTGTGTATATATAAAGCTGCCCTTTGTGTCCAAGTGGCAACACAAGCAAGAGTCGCAGTCCAGCTGGCATGTGCCCAGGCAGTGATGATGCCCATCCCTGTGCCCAGTCTGGCAGGTGGCAGAAGCCCTGAACTCCACATTACACAATAGCAAGGACATCCTGAACCGTGGCGTATAAATAGGTGCCGGCGTGATCCAACATGAAAGCTGCGTCTGAATTTCCACTCCCAGCCCAGGCAGGCCTTCAAATACCAAATGGGTCAGACTTGGCCAAAGGATATGTCCCCCGATCTCTTGACCTCTTCTGTTGACCTTTGGAAACCAAGCATGGGCCCCCAAAGACTAGGTTTTAGGCCTCTCCTCCAAACCCAATTCATAGAATCCTAGAGCTGGAAGAGACCCCAAGGGCCATCCAGTCCA